TGAGATATACAGAGGTCAAAGTCATAGACTGAAGATGGGAAGAGACCTCAAAGACCATCTAGTCTAAGTCCTTTATTTTACAGAGGGGGAAACTGAGGCTCAGGGAGACTCGATTTGCTCAAGGTCACACAGATCGTAAATGGTAGAGTCAGAATTTTTATGCAGGTCTGCTCATTCTAAATAGGATGTTCCTTCCATGGTCATTCTGTTCCTCTCATCTGTGGAGAGCTCAGGCAACTTCCTGTCATCACAAGCCCCTGTTACTTACGAATCGCGTTCTCCACTTTTTCCTTGAGGGAGTAGATGGTAATTTTCTCCCCGGCATCGGTACTCCTTCTCCAGATGTTCTTCAGGAGCAATGGGTACCGGGTCAGTCGGTGCAGGGGAGTCACCAGCAGTTCAGGGAGGTGGAGTCGTTTGCACTGGTCATGCCTTTCACACCACTACAGAACACAAAGCAGGGAGGGCAGCTGATCAGAACATCCCTTCCCTGCCTGGCCGCACCTGGAAGAAGCTCTTTGGAGCCCCCACTGATGGAAAGGGAACAGGGAGAACCTCTGGCTTTTATTTTATTTATTTGTTTGTTCATTTGTTCATTTTTTTGGGGGGGAGGTAATTGGGGTTAAGTGACTTGCTCAGGGTCACACGCCTAGTAGGCATCAAGTATCTGAGGCTGGATTTGACCTCAGGTCCTCCTGACTCCAAGGCCAGAGCTCTATCCGCTGTGCCAACTAGCTGCCCCCTCTAGTTTTTATTTACTGGTGATCTACAGCCGTAGCATCTACAGGTCACTCTGATCATAAACGAGAGCTGGGACTTCTGAATATAAAGTTACTGCTTTTGCCCCCTCACCAACACAATACCTGCTCAATGAATGTCGGTTGAATCAAATTGACTTAGTCTCCCCATAGAGACTAATAGCTGTGGTCACTTCCTGAAGCAGATGAGAAAGCCCCTGGATCATGGCCCCAGTTGGCCGCATCCTAGGGGCAAGGCTAGGGATGCTAGGACCAGTGAATTGGTATTTAGATCAAACATGAGAATGGACATTCACCTGTCCCAATTTAATTGTTCTAAAATAGGGTAAAAATGCTTTCTTGGACCTACATGTCAGTTGGTCATTTGTGTGCTCTGCACTGTGCTATGTGCTATATGCTAGGTATACAAAGAGTAGAAACAAAACCAAAATTTTCCTCTCCCTCAAGAAGCTTACATTCTAATGGAGGAGACAACATGTAAATAAACAAACGAATGAATGCATGAATGAATGAATATATGTATGTGTGTATATACACACACACAGACAGAGAAAAAGAGAGTAGCTGGAAGCAATCTCAGAGTGAAGGCCTAGTAGTAGGGGACATGGGATGGCAATGGAGGAGACTAGGAAAGGCCTTCTGCAGAAGGTGGGATTTGAGCAGCCTTCAAAGACGACAAAAGGAACTAAGAGAAAGTGAGGAGGGACAGCGTTCCAGGCATGGCAGACAACCCACGAGCAATACAACCCTCTGTAATGAAATCCTGGGTGGGCTCAGATCCCTGCATCTGTGGCAGATGCAGGGCTCACATAAATTAACCCTATTTTAGGGATGGAAACAGATGGCTTTGGTCCTTCCATCCTGTTGTCGATCAGTCATTTTTCAGTCGTGTCCAACTCTTTGTGACCCCGTTTGGGGTTTTCTTGGCAGAGACACTGGAGTGGTTTGACATTTCCTTCTCCAGCTCATTTTACAGATGAGGAAACTGAGGCAAACAGGGTGAAGTGACATGCACACAGCTATTAAGTGTCTGAGACCAGATTTGAACTCAGGAAGATGAGCCTTCCTGATTCTAGGTGCTCTAAGGTTTACAAAGCGCTTTACAGGCGTTATCTTATTTGATCCTTACAACAATCTGTGAAGAAGATGTTATTATCACCCGTGTCTTATAGATGTGTTAACTGACACCGAGAGCAGTTAGGTTATCTGCTCTGGGACACATCGTTAATATGTGTCTAAGGTAGGGTTTGAATCCCCCTCAGCCCTTCTGTGATACTTCCCCAACTGGACACTCACTAGTTCATAGGTTAGGTCCCCAGAGCTGCCAGTGAGGTATTGGCAATGTTACCCATAATCCTCCTATCACATCTCTTCCCTCCTCTAAAATCCTATGGATGGGAAATAGAGAAGCCACTTTTTGATATTGTCACAAGCTTTGGGCTCCCCTCCCCTGAAAGAAACAGAATAAAATGTATGAGGGCTGAGTTTAGAGTCAGAAGATCTGGTTTCAAATGGACTTCTGGCTCTAAATCTGTGATCCCATGATCCTTGGAGACCCCCAAAAGCTCGCTTTCAAGGAGATTAGGAAATCGGTTGACTCGGGGGGCTTGTTCAATGAGTGCCTCACCCTTGGCCTGGAAGGTTGAGCAAATGCTGCAGTCTAGCAGCCGAACCAAGGGGAGAATTTTGTCAACAGGATGATGTCATTTCTAATTTGGGAAACTCTAATGGCCTTGGTTGGAGCTGTCAAATCCTTGAAATGCTGTGAATGTGAAGGAAGGAAAGGTCAGGTTTCTTCCCAAGGTCTCTCCTCTTGTGGCCTCATGAATCCACTGAGGGTTTCTCAGCACGTCAATAACTCAACAAACAGCAGAAGACTTTCTCCCTCCCTCCCCTCAAGTCTCCAAGGTGATTTGTTGGCAAAGGCTTTCTTGCAGCTGCAGGGAAGGGTTGCTTTTTTTCTGGAAAGCCTTGGATCACTCCTCCTCCTGTCTGCCCTCCCCTCCCCACCTCCATCCCCACTCCTAGAATGAAACCCAACAAAAGACTTTTGACCCAGCACTGGAAAATCACTCTGCAAACTTAGAGAAAATCATAGGGAAATGAAGCCTGCGTATGCCAAGTTTCAGGTCTTTTGTTGTTTGATTGTTTTAATCATATCTGATTCTTTGTGACCCCCATTTGGGGTTTTCTTGGTAAAGATACTGGAGTGGCTTGCCACTTCCTTCTCCAGTCCATTTTACAGATGAGGAAACTGAGGGAAACAGGGTTAAATGACTTGCCCAGGGTCACATAGCTAGTGTCTGAGGCTGGATTTGAACTCAAGAAGAGGAATCTTCCTGACTCTAGGCCCAGCACTCTATCCACTGTGCCACCTAGCTGTCCCTAAAAGTTTCAGGTCTACTATTCCACAAAGTCTAACCATTATTAGTAGGAAACAGTCTTCCCCTAATGCTCTGGAACCCATACCTGGAAAAGCAAACAGGGAAGGAAGCAGCAAGCCAAGAGGGTAAGAGTACCCCTAGGACCAGGCCCCTGCCTATACCCATTATCTCTCCCTCAGTGTCTCCCAGTTTTTTCCCTGCCTAACCCCCTGTTCTTCTGGGGATCCCAATATCCAGTTGCCCAAACTGCACTTGGAAGCATCCACCTCTTCCAACCCATACTTTTGGAGACCTAGTCAGGCAACAAACATTTATTAAGTACTTACTAAGCACCAGGCACTGTACTAAGTACTGGGGATATAAAGAAAGTACGTGGTCCCTGTCCTCAAAGAGTTCACATTCTAATGAGGGAGACAAATGCAAAAAACTAGAACATCCAAAGTATAGAGAGAGAAGACGGAAGGCAGTCTAAGAGGGGAAGGCACTAGCAGTTAGGGAGACCAGGAAAGGCCTCTAGCAGAAGGTGAGATTTAAGCTGGGAAGATCACTGCCAGCCTCTTAGACCTGGGTTCTCTCTGCTCAGCTCTGCCTTTACAGCATGTTGGATATACTCAGTCCCCAGGTGCAGTTCTGGTCTCTTCTCCCATTTTCCTGCCCATAATTCCCAAATGTATCTCTAAACTTATGTAGGGCATTCCAAAGGACCAAAACAAGATAGTCTCCATCAATTAGCATGCATTAATTAAGCACCGACTTTGAATCAGGCAATCTGCTACTTGTTTGATCCTGCCAATTCATTGGAAAGAGTGATAGATTTGGAGTCAAAGGACCTGGGTTTGAGTTGGGGTTCCACTTACTGTCTTCCTGGAGAGGGGAAAAGGAAGAGGAAGAAGAGAAAGAGGGGGAGGGGAGAGAGATGGCAGTCCACAATTCAGGAGACATTTTGGATGATATTCTCCCCATTCCCTGAAACATCATTCTTCTTTCCTTCCTCCCTCTCTCCCTCCCTTTTCTCCTCCCTCCTTCCCTCTCTCTCTTCTTTCCTCCCTTCTCTCCTCTCTCCCTCCCTCCCTTTCTTCCTTCCTTCTTTTATTTCCTTCTTTCCTTTCCTCCCTCCCTTTCTTTCTCCCTCCCTCCCTTCTTTTTTTCCTTCTTTCCTGTTATGGTTTCTTGCTGTATTTGGCTTATTTATCTGAATTCCTTTCTCCTCACCTTTGCTAAATACAGTCACTATCAATCCCCATTTCCCATCAGCCTCAAAGAACTTTAGAACAAGGGAAGAAAATGCAGAAAGAAAAATCAAGGCTTACATCACCTTTAAATAGATTCTGAAGTCTTCTCTCTGTCTTAAGCTCTCAAGGTAGAAGATGGCAGAGGTGTAATTAAGGCAGTAAATCTGGTGGCTCTGACAGAGGCGCCCTCGGAAATGCTGTAAGAGCAAAATGCAGAACATAAGTCCCATAAGCAAACAATCTGTGACTGTGGGAAGGAAGGCAACATCATGGAGTGGACAGAGAACGGACCTCAGAGTCCTGGGTCCGAGTCCTGGCAGTGTGTGACCCTGGGTAACTCATGGTGCCTTTCAATGACTCATGCAACTTTCTAAGCTACAGATTGGAGAACAATGGCTGATCTTGCTTACCAGGAGTTCTTTCTACCAATTAAATCCCAAGGTCCAGTCCAAGGAAAACTCCAAATAACCCGACCCTCAGATTCAAATAGTTATAAGAGTCTGTCCTTCCATTTGCTTAGTAAATGTTTCTTTAAGTGTTCATTATGCTCAAGGCACAACAAGAAAGTCAAGATTGCCAAGTCCTGGACTGGGAGTTAGGAAGGTGGTTCATATCTCGCGTTGGACACTTATGTCATGTGACCCTGGACAAGTCACTTAAGCTCAATGATTCTCAGGTACCCCCAGAGGATGTATCTAGGGAAACAGTAGATTGCCATGGAAAGGATGTTACATTTGTTCACCTTGATTCATTGTCCAGCCCTGTGACTTTGGGAAGCAACTTCACCGTTTCGGGTCCCAGTTTTTTAATCTTTATAATGGACTAAATGACTACCTCTCTGTCTGTGGTCCCATAATCTACCATGTCACAATGGGTGTGATCTGCCTTGGGGGAGGGAGTTCTCACACCAGGAATGTGAGATGGGAATCCCAAAATCTTTCCTGTACCAGCACATAGTCAAGGCACTTTAAAAAGGCACTAAGTAGGGATATAAAAGATAAGGCATGGATCCTGCCTTCAAGGAGCTGAGGCTTTGAGCAAATCCATCTTCCATAAATCTAAGTGGGCACATGTGTGAATATGGCTTCCTTTTCACGATGTTAAAATACTCCTGTGGGCAACAACAGCTCATTTTTCTGTAAGGGTTGGAGTTTTTGAAGGTACTCACTAGAGAGGATAGAGTGTTGGGTCTGAGTTCAAATGTAGCCCCAGATACTTAAAAGCTGTGTGATTCTGGGCAAGTCACTTAACCTGTGTTTGTCTCAGTTTTCTCATCTGTAAAATGGGGATAATCATAGCCCCTACTTCTCAGGGTTAAGAGTCTTTCATTTTATGTTTAAGAAAACAGAGGCCCAGAGAGGTAAGTGGCTTGCCTATTTTGCACATCTGGTGAGTAGCTGAGGCATTATTTGAATCCAGGTATCCCTTATTCCATGTGAAGCCCTCCGTCTTCTCCTACAGCCTTGCTACCTCTGTTTCAAGGTCCTTATTTTATAATATAACATACTTCTAAGTAGCAGAGGGGGGATTGAAAACCAGGGCCTCTGAATCCCAGTCCAACCAATCACTCAATTAATCAATGAGCATTTATTAAGTATCTACTGTATACCAGGCCTTGTGATTGGCCGGTGCTTTTTCCACTGTCCTAATTGCCTCCAGCTCATCAATGAATATTTTTTGGGGGGCTAGGCAATCGGAGTTAAGTGACTTGCCCAAAGTCACACAGCTAGTTAAGTATCAAGTGTCTGAAGCCAGATTTGAACTCAGGTTCTCCTAACTCCATGGCCGGAGATCTATCCACTGCGCCACCTAGCTGCCCCAAGAATATTTTTTAAAAAATAAAATTTAAAGTAAGAACTGTATTTAACACTCTTGGGTAGGTAGGTGGCTCAGTGAATAGAGAATTGAACCCGGATTCAGGATTGCTAATTCCACCTCAGACATTTACATTTACAAGACCCAGGAGAAATCAATTAATCTCTCTACTTCAGTTTTCTCACCGTGCAATGAGGATAATAACTAGCCCCTACCTCACAGCATTTTGAGGATCAAACGTGATAATATTTATGAAGTGCTTTGTGAACCTTAAATGTCTATATAAATGCTAGCTATTATTATTATGGATGTGTGTGAGTGTGTGTGTCTTCTCAGCATTTGCTTAGAAAAAACCGAGAGTATTTTTAAAGGTAGAACTATGGTTTCTTTTTTTTTTTCTTCAACATTTCCCCTCTACACCAAACACAACAGCAGAATCACCAGGGGCTTTGATGGATTTGAAGTTTTGTTTTGTTTCCCTGCGAGAAGCTGCCACTTTTCTCAGAAGACCAAGTGAACCATGTAATTAATGAGCTCAAAATTCTTACCCTGAATATTGCTCAAAATTGAAGTCATTTCACAAACTGGGAGATGTTTTTTCCTCAGGCACTCAGATTTGTGTGTTAATAAAGTACACCCCAAAGATGAGCACAGTGGGAAGGTGAGCCTGTCTGCAGGTTACATTTGGTGGTTTTGATTAGGGAGAAGGGAGTGGGGATGATTTTTTTTTCACTCTGCAAAAATCTAGGAATGTAAACAATTCTCAGGAAGAAGGGGAAGGGTCTACGTGGAGACTCCATTGTGGGAGGGTTGGGGATATCAAAGCCTCTATCAGATATTTTACCTTGGAGAGCACAGAGATGAAATCCATGGAGGATGCAGAGCCAGATGAATTTATATAGTCCTTGATGGTGCTGAAAAAACAGCTCAGGAAGCCGAGACTGACCTGAGGGCAGACAAAGGGATAGACAATGACCTTGACCTTGTCGTGACCTGAGGCTCAGGCTTGAAGAATATAAATTTAATGAATGGAAGTGACCCTTCTCGATGGTCACTTCCAAGGTCACTGCCAAGACAACAGTGGTAGTTTTCCACTTGGATGCATAATGGACTGATAGGAATCAGCGCTCTTTGATCTTCTTCTGGTTTATTTATTTATTTTTAAGTGAAAGATCTATGTTAAGAGAGCTCATTCACTTAGGAATACAGTCTTTTGATGTGTGATGGCCACCTTTGGGATGTGTTTCTAGTTACTTAAACATTACTTAAATGTGGGGATATGGAATAAGCTCAAGAAAAAAGGGTGATTAATACTTGCAGTCTTGTGTAATGGACTCCATCTCACAAAATAGAATTACATGAGACCTGATCACCACAATGCCCTTGTTCTCCTAAATCATCCCATTCCCAAGATGATGGGGCAGGGGGTGGGGGGGTGGGAAGGCATCCCCTCTCTTCCCAAGTTGGGCAAAACCAATGAGTGTTTCCTTAGTCTCAGACCCCACTGCTTGTCTGTATGTAAGCATCCACAATACTGCTCCCATAGCAATGTATGAGTTTCATATGTTGTTTATTCCCTTGGAGAATGCAAACTCCTTGAGGGCAGGAACTGTTTCATTTATGTTTTTGTACTCCTAGTATCTAACACAGACCTTGGCACTTAATAGACTCTTGGCCAGTTTGCTTTTGCTGTTCAGTCATGTCTGACTCTTCATGACCCCATTTGGGGTTTTCTTGGCAAAGATCCTGGACTGGTTTGCCATTTCCTTCTCCAGCTCATTTTACAGATGAGGAAACTGAGGCAAACAGGGTTAAATGACTTACCTAGGATCACACAGCTAGTAAGTGTCTAAGGCTGGGTTTGAACCTGACTCCAGGTATAATTCTCTATTCTCTGAGCCACCTAGCTGCCCTCTTAGGCAGGTGTCTAAAATGATAAAGCTCTGGGCATGGAGTCAGGATGGTGCCTCAGATGCTTAGTAACTGTGTGACCCTGGGCAAGTTACTGAATATGTTTAGCCTCACTTTGTAAAATGAAGAGGTTAGACTACTCTCAGTCTCCTTCTAGATTTAACTCTATGATCCTATGCAGTGATGTGTTGGCTCACTACTTCAGCTGGCTCACAAGAGTTGATTTTTAAATTTTCAATGTGAGCATTTATACTTCAGAAATTGACTAATGCTACAACTCAGGGCTTGATTTACTGTTTTATTGATTGTCTGGACTTAAAGAAGTGATGGAGAAAATGATAATAATGCAAATAAAATTAAAAATGTGTCTAGTGTACTTTTTTCCTTTTGGAGAGCTGGTTGTTAAACATTTACCAGCATATCCATGATGCTGTCGCCTTCTGGCACTGAGCCCCATTGCTTTGCTAGAAGAGATTGGGAATAGCTGGTCATCCCTGTGTAATGATGCAAGCTGAAATATTGTTTGTATTTTCTTGTTTTATTGATAACTTTTGTTTTTTTCAAATAATTGCCATTTTTGTATAAACTTTTCCCTCCCTCTTTCCTGTCTCAACAATCCTGCTCTTGCAACAGAGAAAAAAGATTAAGCAAAATCAATCACACTTGACAGCCACATCTGCAGCCATGGTGCTACACATTTTCAAGAAAAGAAAGGAGTTGTGGAATGCATGTTGTAGAATTCCACCCACTGAAATGTATAAAAGCTTGACATCTTAAAGTACTTTCCATGAGTTGTAACAAATTATCTTTGTGCCCCAGGTTTCTTGGAGTCAGTTTTTTTCCCTTATCATTTCCTTACCTGACTTAATTCTTCAAGGTTAGCAAAAAGTCTCCATAAGTCCACATCCAAGAGGCATTCGTAGTTTTGAAGGTATTTGAGTGTATTCATAAAGACCTAAGAAAAACCCCAGAGAAATGCCCATTATTCCTGCTTTATATGTCTGAAGACTCCTGTTTGAGAGATTGATGCATTTCATGTTCCTTTGTATTGACTTAAAAAACAGTTTAGAAGTGCAATTTTCAGGATTTTAGAAAGTTGCTGAATTCAAATGGTCCCTTCTGTCCCATTTCAGCATCATGGAATATATTGAGATCCCACTCTTTTGATATGGAGATCTGGATGCTAATGAGGGCTAGCTGATGATCTTCTCAAGGAATAAGGGAATGGATTTTAGGTCCCTAGCAGATACCATCTCAGATTTCTTCTTGTATCTATCACTAAGAGTAAAATCCAAAGGGCGGAATATAAACTTGCTTTGTCTTCATTCCCTTGCCTACAAACTAGGAAACATCCTCTCTACATCCCCTACATTTAGAGTGAGAATGGACTTTAGAGGTCATCTGTTCCAATCCCCTAATTTTATAGATAAGGAAACTGAGGCTCAGAGTGATAACATGCGATAAGCCCAGGGTCATTACCCTAGAGTGACAAAGCCAGGATTTGAACTCACATCCTCTGACTCTAAATCTGGTGTTCTTTCCATTGTACCAATGCTCAAGGGAATGAATACCAGGGCAAAAATAAGTAACTGTCATATGATTGTCATTTCAAACCACCAAATATATTTTGTGGATTCATGTGTACCTTATTGTACCCAATTAATGCAAAGGGGTATGATAGACCTGTACGTGAATTCAAATCCTACCTCTGACATTTACTAAATCTGTGATCAAGAGCTACTTAACCTCAGTTTCCATATCTGTAAATGGGGTTTACAAGGCCTAAAGCACCCATCTCAAGGGGTTATAAGGTTTAGATGAAATAATGCATGTCAGACACTTCTGTTATTGTTCAATCATTTTTCAGTCCCATCTGACTCTTCATGACCATATTTGGGGTTTTCTTGGCAAAGATACTGGAGTGGTTTGACATTTCCTTCTCCAGCTCATTTTACAGATGAGGAATTGAGGCAAATAGGGTTAAGTGACTTGCCCAGGGTCACACAGCTAGCAAATGCCTGAGGCCACATTTGAACTCAGGTCTTCTTGAATACAGGCCTGGCTCTCTATCCACTGTACCACTCAGCTGACCTATAAAACATTTTATATAACTTAAAGCACTATATAAATGTTAGCTATGGTTTTTTAATAATGCAAAGAACACTGGATTTGAAGGGAAAAGACCAGTTTTAAAATTTTTTTTCTACCATGGACAACTTATGTGGCCTTAAGCAAAACATTTTGCTTCTGTGGTCCTCAGTTTCCTCAGATGTTAAATGAGAAGTTTGAACTAGCTGTCCTCTGAGTTCCGTCCTTATTAATTTAGTGATGAGAGCAAACTACCTCTCTCCTCTTCTTTCACTCCAATGGTAAAAATATATCAGGGAAGTAGTGAGAGAAGTCAAATCCTCTGAATTCACTGATCACTGAATTGCACTGTCCCTAAATCCTAGTGTGCAGGCACAAATCCTGCCTTTTATATACTGGCAGGGATAAGAAAGAAAAAGATAAGAAAGAAAGACTCCTTTCTTCTCCTTTCCCTCCCCCATTTCTTTTAGGCCTCTATTACAAATGAACTAGTAGAGAGTTCTATTGGACACTTCTCTGAATGAAAAGTATGACAGCTGTCATTGTTTTACAATAAAGTATTTTGTAACGTTTGAGTTTTTATTGTATGATGTAGCAAAAAAGAGTACTGGATTTGGAGTCGGGGCCTGGGTTCAAATCCCAGCTTGGCTACTTAGCCCTTTGTGATATTGGGCAAGACACTTTTTTTCCCCTTGGATCTCCAGTTTCTTCATCTGTGAGATGAAGGGGTGGACAAGATGCTTTTGAAAGTCCCTTCTAACTCTAAATTGGAATGAAAAGACAAGGAGACGTTTTGGTGTAGTGGAAAGAATTTTGGAATTAGAGATATGGACTTAAGTTTGAGGCTTGGTTAGTCTACTTAAACCTCATTTGGCCCTAGATAAATTTCTTCACCTTTCTGAGCCTCAGTTCCTCATCTGTAAAATGAGGGATTTAGACTGGGTGACCTCTAAGGTCCTTTCCAGATATAATGTTTTGGGGCAGTAATAGAAGATGAAAAAGACCAAACTTCTTTTCTCTCAAAGACTCCATCAACATCACCTCGAGGAAACATGGTGCAGTTGAAAGTGTTGGATTTCAATTCAAAAGACTTGGGTTCCAATTCCAGCACTCTTACTTACTTCATGTGGGACCCAAGGCAAGTCATTGAGCTCCTTAGAACTCAGTATCCCCTTTCTGTAAAATGAGGGAATAAAACCAGATGACTTCAAAGGTCATTCCAGTCTCAAATCTATGATCCTATCATTGCTTTCATCTTATTATTAATCATATAACACTTTGATTTTTACAAAGTTTTCTAAATACATTAGCTCATCTGGTACCAAGAGTAAGCCTGTGAGGTAGGTAGGTACTCTAAGTGTTATTATCCCCATTTTACAGATGAGGAAACTGAGGTTCAAAGTGGTGCTTATTGTTTATAGTATATGACATTCTATTTCTTTTCTCCATGCCTTTGCCAGGCTGACCCACCTGCAGGAATGCTCTTTCTTCTCATCTTTACCTCTTGAAATCCTTAGGGATAGACCTAGATCTATAATGTCATTGGGATAGGGAACTCCCAGAAGATCAAACTTCCTTTACCAGTCCAGGTTGGCACCTTCCCTACAATTCACAGCCTCAGAAAGTTACCTCAGGGCAATGAGAGGTTAAGTGACTTGGCCAGGAATACACACACGGTCAGTATGTGTCAGAGGAAACAAGATCTTCCTCATTCTGAGGCCAGATCTATCTATCTATCTATCTATCTATCTATCTATCTATCTATCTGTCTGTCTGTCTGTCTGTCTGTCTGTCTGTCTGTCTGTCTGTCTGTCTGTCTGTCTGTCTGTCTGTCTGTCTGTCTGTCTTTCTTTCTTTCTTTTTGGTGAGACAATTGGGGTTAAGTGACTTGCCCAGGGTCACCCAGCTAGTGTCAAGTGTCTGAGGCCGGATTTAAACTCAGGTCCTCTTGACTCCAAGGCTGGACCTCTATCCGCTGTGCCACCTAGTTGCCCCATGAGGCCAGATTTCTAATCTCTGTACCACACTGCTTCTAATCTCTCTTTGCTTTCAAGGTTTAGTTTATGTGATTTCTTAGAAAGGACCTTCTTTGATTCCTCAGTTGAGAATAGTTAACACTTATGCAATGCTTTAAAGTTTTTAAAATGCTTTACAAATATGATTTCATTTGATCCTACAACCCAGGGAGATAGGTGCTATTACTATCTCCATTTTGCAGATGAAGAAACTGAGGCAGACACAGATTAAGTAACTTGCCCAGGCTCATGCAGGTATTAAGTGTCTGAGGTTGGATTTGAACCAAGCTCTTCCCCTACTGTAGGTCTATGCTCCATCCATTGCACCTCGTAGCTGTGTTAGAACTCTGTCCTCAAAATTACTCTTTATTGATTTTCTGTATTTTACATTTACCAACCTGAGCACCTCCTCCCATAGAATCTAAGTTTCTGGGGGTCAGGAAATGTTTAATTCCTAGCACTTAACACAGTTCCATGCACACTGTATGCATCATAAATCCTCTCCAAATTTAATGATATGACCTAACTCTCTGTAATAGCAAAGCTGACTCCCAAGGAGTTAAAGCAACATTTTGAATTTATTAATGAAGCAAAATAGAGCATTACCATCTTAAGAACTAGCAAGTGGTCTAAATAATAGGTGCATTCACTGGTGAAGAGTTCCCACACAGCTTCCTGCTGCTTTCTCAAGTCTGCTGGCTCACTAGGAAGCTTTTCATGTCTTTCCAGAACTTCTTCCCAGGTCTTATCCTATACATAACGAGAAAAAAGAACAAAAGTCTTTCATTTCACCTGATTGACCTGACTTGCTGTTATTTTGGGGTGGCGGTTGTGGGGTGGTGGGGGTTGAGGAGGTGCAGGGGACTTGCAAGAATACATCAACAGACAATAGATGAATCATTAGCTCTGGAGTTAGAGGGAGTGAGTTCAAACCCTGCCTCTGATACTTATCCCCTGTGTGACCTTGGGTAAGTCCATCTCCCTGGGCCTCAGTTTCCTAATCTGGAAAATGAAAGTTGGATTGAATGGTCTCCGAGGTTCCTTTCAACTCTCAAGGTATAGTCTATGATCCACCTTTTCTCACCGATGGCCCTAAGTGTTGCTTGTCAATTTATTCCCCATAACACAAAGGACATATTGTTCAGTCATTTTTCAGCTGTATAGCACAATGCCTGGCCGATGTTCTGTTTAGACATTTTAGTCAAGTTTGACTCTTTGTGACCACATTTGGGGTTTTCTTGGTAAAGATTTCCTTCTCCAGCTCATTTGACAGATGAGGAAACTGAGGCAAACAGGGCTAAGTGACTTGCTCAGGGTCACACAGCTGAGGCTGGATTTGAACTCGGGGAGATGAGTCTTCCTGACTCCAGACCAGGAGCTCTATCCTCTGTGACATCCCTTTAAGTCAAATGAGATATTTGTAAAGTGCTTAGCACATAGTAGGTGTTCAATGCCTGGTCCTACCCTCCCTTTCCCTGTACCTTTCATAGAATCAGTGCATAATATATCTTTGCTGAGTTGAAAAGAATAGTTGAGTTTGTAATGCTGCTACTTACCACATCTGAGCTACGTGGCATATTTTGGTTTCGGACTGCATTTGTAAGTTTTGTAGGCATAGGGAACTCTTCTATCAGATCAGAAACTATCCTGTAACTTAGAGTCTTAGAGAATTGCCTGGGGGCATAGAGACTTTAAGCCACTTATATTGGCTTTTAAAGTGAAAGTGAATTTAATTCATTTTGTTCTGTGGTCTCTACCTGTGTTCTTCTCAGATGCCTCTTCATGGTGTGGTTACAGTCCTGGGTTTCTGAAGTCTGTGCGATTAGAACTTAAATACTTCAGAACATATCCAATTGGAAGGGCTTCAGGTATGAGTCTAATAATGGCCCCAGCATGTTAATCGCTTGAACATCAGGCTAGGTAAGGACAGAGACACTCATTGCCAAGGATTTCAGTAGGTTGGTGAATTTCTTTAGCCTCAGCAACTCAAGAAAGCCACTTACTGAGGCATGGAGCGATTGAAGATGAATGAATGTCTGTGTTGGTGGAGGGAACACTGATGAAATCCTGAATCCTGGATGTATTGAAGTATTAGATGGAGGCACTCTGGGGAAATTTAGGACATGTCTTAGGCTATGTTTCATTGCTTCAAATGATTAGAGATGTATCCATCATGAAAACCAGGCAATTCTAAGATGACTGCTAGTCTCAGTTCTTGGTCCCCTAGAGGAGGCTAGTAGAAACCAACCACCATCTTAATTTGATTTGGATTCCATTTACAAAAGGAAAGAATGGGAGCAGCTAGGTGGGGCAATGAATAGAGCACCAGCCCTGGAGTCAGGAGGACCTGAGTTCAAATCCGGCCTCAGACAC